CATCCGCAAATTTAGCCACTTCACTGCTTACTCCCATCTCCAAATCATTAATGAACAAGTTAAAAAGCAGTGGACCAAGTACTGATCCCTGCGGTACCCCACTGCTTACCACCCTCCACTGAGAAAATTGCCCACCTACACTCACTCTCTGTTTTCTATGAACTAGCCAGTTTTTGATCCATAAAAGGACTTGTCCTTCTATCCCATGATTTTTGAGCTTACTTAGGAGCCTTTGATGAGGAACTTTATCAAAAGCTTTCTGGAAGTCAAGGTAAATAATATCTATTGGATCCCCCTTGTCCACATGTTTGTTCACCCCCTCAAAGAACACTAACAGGTTAGTGAGACAAGATCTTCCCTTACAGAAACCGTGCTGAGTCTGCCTCAATAGGTTTTGTTCATCTATGTGCCTACTAATTCTTTCCTTAATAATGGTTTCCACCAATTTACCCGGTATCGACGTCAGACTGACTGGCCTGTAATTTCCCGGATCTCCTCTGGAACCCTTTTTAAAGATGGGAGTGACATTAGCTACCTTCCAATCCTCAGGAATGGAGGCAGATTTTAAGGAAAGATTACATATCTTTGTCAGGAGATCTACAAGTTCACATTTGAGTTCTTTCAGAACTCTCGGATGTATGCCATCTGGGCCTGGTGATTTTTCAGTTTTTAAGTTGTCTATCAGTTTTAGGACCTCCTCTCTCATCACCTCAATCTGACTCAGGTCTTCCAACACCCCTCCTGAAATCAGTGGTTCTGGAGTGGGCAAGCACTTCTCATCTTCCACAGTGAAGACGGAGGCAAAAAATGCATTTAGCTTCTCAGCCATTTCCCTATCATCCTTCAATACTCCTTTTACCCCTTGGTCGTCCAAGGGCCCCACTGCCTCCCTGGCTGGTTTCCTGTTTCTAATGTATTTGAAGAAAGTTTTATTGTTGGTTTTTACGTTTTTTGCTATATGCTCCTCATATTCCCTTTTTGCCTGCCTGACCTCAGACTTGCATTTTATTTGCCATAGCCTGTGTTCCGTTTTATCAGCCTCACTGTGACTAGCTTTCCACTGCTTAAAGGAATTCTTTTTACTTTTTACAGCCTCCATTACTCTGTTTGTTAACCATGCAGGCTTTTTCCTATACCTGTTTGTGCCTTTCCTAACCTGCGGAATATATATTCCCCGATCTCAGTGCTCTTGGGGGAATGTACGGGGAGAGGCGGTCCCTTAGGGAGGCCGTACCCTGGCCATTCAGGGCTTTAAAGGTAAGCACCAGCACTTTGAAACGAATCCGGTATGCTATAGGCAGCCAGTGCAGCGCATGCAGCACCGGTCGGATGTGGTCTCGCCTGGAGAGACCCATCAGCAACCTCGCTGCAGCATTCTGCACTAGCTGCAGCTTCCGGATTTGCGACAAAGGCAGCCCCAAGTAGAGAGCGTTACAGTAGTCCAACCTCGAGGTGACCGTCGCATGGATCACAGTGGCCAGGTCTTCTCGGCCGAGATAGGGAACCAACTGCCTGGCCAGCCGCAGATGGTAGAAGGCTGACTTGGCAGTGGCTGTCACCTGGGCCTCCATTGTTAATGAGGAGTCCAGGAGCACACCCAAACTCCTAACCTCCCGCACAGGCACCAGTGGTGTCCCGCCGAAGGCCAGGAGAGGATGTCCCAACTCTCGGCCGATCCGGCACAGGCCCAGGACCTCCATCTTTGCTGGGTTTAGTTTCAACCGACTCAGCCTGAGCCACCCAGCCACGGCTTGCGATGCCCGCAAAAGGTCATCAGGACCAGAGTCTGACTGGCCGTCCAACATCAGATAGAGCTGGGTGTCATCAGCATATTGATGACACCCAAGCCCACACCTCCGGGCAATCTGGGCGAGGGGGCGCATGTAGATGTTAAACAACATCGGGACCAGAGTCTGACTGGCTGTCCAACATCAGATAGAGCTGGGTGTCATCCGCATATTGGTGACACCCAAGCCCACACCTCCGGGCAATCTGGGCCCCCACGTCAGTGAGGCAACGGGCCAGCAACTGGTGGTCGACCATATCGAACGCTGCCAACAGGTCCAACAGCACCAGTGCCGCCACGCCGCCACGATCCAGATGCCTACGGAGATCGTCAGTCAGCGCGACCAGTACTGTCTCAGTCCCGTGACCCGGGCGAAGCGGGCCAGCAACTGTTGGTCGACCGTATCGAACACCGCCGACATGTCCAACAACACCAGTGCCGCCGCGCCGCCACGATCCAGATGCCTACGGAGATCGTCAGTCAGCGCGACCAGTACTGTCTCCGTCCCGTGACCCGGGCGAAAACCGGACTGGAAGGGATCGAGGATGGAAGCCTCATCCAGGTAGCTCTGTAGCTGTGATGCCACTGCCCTCTCAATAAGTTTGCCAAGAAAAGGCAAATTGGACACCAATTCAGCCGGGTCCAAAGATGGTTTTATCAAGAGAGGATGGACCATTGCTTCCTTGAGTGCTCCAGGGAACCGCCCCTCGGTGAGGGACTTGTTGACAATCTCCCATAGAGCACCTCGAAACCCCTCACGGCCTGCTTTAACCAGCCAAGAGGGGCATGGATCAAGGTCGCATGTGGTTGGGGGCACAGCCATGAACAACCTGTCAACTTCCTCCAGACTGAGTTGGTCAAAACATACTAAACCCATCTCCAAAGACGTACAAGGGGCCTCAAGTTCCATAACTGTATCAATTGTGGCGGGGAGGTCACGGTGGAGTGCTTTGAATGGAATCTCAGGAAGCTTCACAGTATGTAGGCATATCCTTTATTTATTTATTTATTTTACAAAACCACCGTTTCCCTCCTCTGAAGTGCAAATAATGATGTATTGGAGGGGGGCACCTTTGGTGAGCAAAACAGAGTGGAGACTGAAATGTGGCCCACAGTCTGCCATTTGAGGTTTAGACAAACAGAGATCCATCATCTCCAGTGTTAATCAGAACCACAGTGCTTATTTTCCACCTGCCCTGTTTAATGTCCCTGACTGAAAATGGCTTCAGTAAGCCCCAGTGGAGAAAAAAAAGACTGGTATCCCTACTGTGCCTGTCTTTTCCCCTGTTGGGGCTCAAAGCTGTTTGGTATCAGTGGGCATTTCTGATCAGGTTAAAAAAAAATGTGCAAGAAGGATGAGTTATCCCCCTTCCCCATTGATATAGCCCCGATCCATATCACCCCCTCCCTATTTCAAAAGGGAATTAGATAAGCATATGAAGCAGAGGTCCACCAGTGGCTATTAGCCACAAGGTATAGATAGGGGCTCTGGGGCAAGTGGTGCTCTGTCATCTTGGTGCTTGGGGGGGTCAACCGTGGGAGGGCTTCTAATGTCCTGGCCCCACTGGTGGACCTCCTGATGGCACCTGGTATTTCTGGCCACTGTGTGACACAGAGTGTTGGACTGGATGGGCCTTTGGACTGATCCAACATTGGCGTCTCTTCTGTTCTTATTTCTTAGGGCATCCCACGTATCATAGAATCATGGAAGGGATCTCCACGGTCATCTAGTTGAACCCCCTGCATGATGCAGGAAATTCACAAATACCTCCCCACCACCACCAGTGACCCCTGTTCCATATAGGTTGGCCTTGATTTGTTGAGTCATTTTCTCAATGATCAAGAAACTCTTGCAGCATAAAAGGAGCGTGGTTTCAAGTTGGATTTCATGGTCAGGGTTAATTTGGCAGCCATCAAAAGAAAATGGACCTTGTCTTCGGAAAATAGTCTTCAGCATAATGATACCTATTTTTAAAATGGGGATGCTTTGATGGGACAGTGTGTATGTATATATACAACAATATATATGTGTGTGTGTGTGTGTGTGTGTGTATATATATATATATATATATAAAATTATGGGATGTTTGATGGGACAGTGTAACTAGAAATGATATGAATATCTTACTTATTGATTTAATTATTAAATTTATATCCCACCCTCTCCCTCAGAGTGGGTTCTTTACAAACTGATCTGCATAAAGCACAGCTTTGCAATTAAAATTAGGAACATATACATAAATTAAAATGAAACAATCGACTAAAATTAATACAATATGTCTTGACAGATGATGTTGATACTGGCAAAACAGGATCTGCAGCCACTGGTGGGGCAGTGGACCCATGGATCAATATAACTGTAGCAGAAAGAGCTGGCTACCCTAAACCACATTCATCCTTGGCTGCTTTTTATTAAGGCAACTGAAACATCAAAGCACAGGATGTGTGATTGTCCTGTAGGTTTATCAAGTCTCCTGCTCTCAGCCTCCATCTTCCCGCTGCAGCAGTGAGAGAAAAACGGGGGTGGGGGGTGGGGTGCAGCAACATCAGTTTTGGTCCATCACCAGAAGTGATGTCAGATGATGCACCAACTTTCTAGCTATCCCCAAAGTTTCACCATAGAGAGTTGGAAGATTCCTAGAATGTCACAGTGGATGATGATGATGATGATGATGATGATGATGATGATGATGATGATGATGATGATGATGATGTAGCATGCCTCCTGGAAACCCGACCCATCTCTGGGCTTCTGTGCCATGATGGCTGCTGTGAACCTGGTTGGCTGGTTTCAGATAAAATGGAAGAGAGGAGAACGGTGTCAAGCCCCTTTGGGTCCCTACTGTGAAGAAATGAGGTAAAGAAACAAACATGAAGTCTCCTTCATCCACTTTTCTGTTTTTGGTTTTCATGGGCCTCTAAACGCTGAGGCCAGAGGGTAATAAAGAAAAGGGAGGCAGGGGTGGTGTTAGTTCAGAGAGGAGACTTTCTATCGGCCGAGGCCTCACCCGGGGTCATGAGGCCCCCCCGCCACTCACCCCTCGGGCCGCACAACGAGAGGAGCCCACCTGCGCCCGCGCCGGTCCCCGGTCGGCCGGGGGGCGTGGCCCGCGGGCACCGCCCTCCCAGGGACCCGAGGCGCTATAAAGCCCGCGCTGGGCGCCGCTGCTGCTGCCGCTGCCAAGGAGCAACGCCGGGAGCGGAGAGCGGCAGGATGGGGAACCGGGTCACCCGCGACGACTTCGAGTGGGTCTACACGGAGCAGCCCCACACGCAGCGCCGGAGAGAAATCCTAGGTAGGGAGCCGCGGGCTGGTCTCCGGGGCGTCTTCGCTGGCCGCCGGGGGTGGGAGCCTTGCCCGGTCCGAACTCTCCGAATGGGACTCGCGGGCTTTCAGAACTGGCTCCCTCGCCTTCTGCCTGCTCGGTGTGCCTTGAACCCCGGGTATTGCTGGCTGGGGAGGGAGAAGGAAGTCTGCACATGCTCTGGGGCGCTCTCTTCGTTGAAATGGCGGCCATCCGTTTTAGGGCTCAGTCTCGGCGCTGCAAGTAGGCTGGTGGGCAGAACCATGCCTCCTCCTCGGACCGCCGCCCCCCCCCCCCGGCCAGTCCGTCTCGCTATAATCAGGTTGGCTTTTGCATTTCAGCCCCCTCCTCTCCCCTCCCGGAGTTTTTCTTTTTCCTTCCTTTGCTTGGAACCCCAAGTCTGTTCTCCTCTAGGGAAACTGAACGGGATGTTGGGCTGGCCGGTTTGGCCAGGTGCGTTTTAGGGAGGGGTGGTTGCTTCGTAGGTAGCAGTAATCCAGCAGAGGAACCTGTCCCCTTGGCTGCAAGGGAGCAGAAGGTTATTCCTTGGCATGCAGTTGTGAAACAGACAGGTGTTCTGCTGGGAATCAGGGTTGGCGACTTAGGGTGTGCCCTGCCCTCTTTCCTTTTCCTTTCGGGAAACTGGTGCTTGGTCCCCAAAAGAAGTTGTCACCCACGGGTACAATCTGCGTCACCCTGCGTTGTGCAAGATGTCCCTTGGTCCCTTCCAGCCCTGTATTTCTGTGCTTGTATTAGAGGGGTGAATAGTCACACCTGCATGAGAAGGCATGGCTTAAAAAAAAATGCACCATGTTTCTTTCCAAAGTACAGCAGTTGCCCATAATATAAAGATGTAGGCATGCTTGACTAGACTTCAGTGCACCAACAATTAAGCAGTATAGCAGTTCAGGGGGGAGGAGAGCAATGTTCCCTCTAAGCTATGGAGTCTTGCGAGCAAAAATTCTACTTTGTGAGCTACTAGCATTAAAACTGTGAGCAAGTGATTTGGCTACTGCATAAATTGGTTTGCTCTCGAGCCATCCCCCTCCTGAGCTGGGACAAAAAAGCGTGAGCCGGAGGCTAAAAAACTGTGAGCTAGCTCACACTAACTCAGCTTAGAGGCATCACTGGAGGAGAGTCCCAGCCATCTCATGGCAACTGTATGAAGTCCCAGCCCATGAGGTTTTCAAGGCAAGGGATGGGCAGAGGTGGTTTGCCATGCCTTCCTCTGCCCCACTGGTGGTCTGCTATCTGAGTACTAACCCTCCGTAACTTCCAAACTTTGACAGGAGCAGGTCAGATTTGCATACTAAAGAATTCAAGCTGAGCAATCCTATATGTATAAAAGCCCAGTATTGGCAGTTTCTGGCTCTCCCATTGACTGTGCTGTGCGCTCCATCAACCACTGGCACATCAACCGCCACTCAAGAGTACTTGCGTGCCATTGGCTGGAGGCTGGGTCGTCTCCCCCGCCCACTGCCCGCTTGGCCACTCTTTCTTCTGTTAGAATAAACTGGCCGTTTTGGCAAAATGACTGTCTCTCCTGACAAAGACGCTTCTCCTGTTTGGCTTCTTCATGGCTGCTGGCTGGCTACTGAGGTGAGCCAGCGGTCATCAAACCATTCTCTTCTGCTGTGTGGCTCACTTTCCCCTAAGGTTGCCAACCTCCAGGTGGGACCTGGAATTTCCTGCTGTTACAATTACTGTCCAGATGACAGAGCTCAGTTCCCCTGGAGAAAATGGCTGCTTTGGAGGATAGACGCTATGGCATTATACCCTGCTGAGTCCTTCTCCTCCTGCCCTCCACAGGATCCATCCCCCAAAACTCCAGGTATTTCCCTACTCAGAGTTGGCAACCCTACTTTCCCCTCAGTAGTTGTTGCTAGGCAACCAAGCTTGGTTCTGTTTGAAAAAGGCAGGGTTCCCCCCCCCCCAGGAACTCATTGGGGCTAGTCCTGAATAGGGTTGCCAGCTCCAGTTTGGGATATTCCTGGAGATTTTTGGTGGAGTCTGTGGAAGCCAGAGTTTGGGGAGGGGAGAGGCCTCAGCTGAACAGAATGCCATAGAGTCCACCCTCCAAAGCAGTTGTTTTCTCTGGGGGAGAAAGAGAGATCAGTTGCCTGGAGTTCAGTTGTGATACCAGGTGATACCACAGCCAGTCTGGCATAGCATTTAGTGCTTCAGAGCAGGGTCTGTTGGACCCAGGTTCTTTCTGTGGAAGCTGAGTGGGTGATTTCAGACCAGTCGCAGACTTTCTGCCTAACCTACTTCACAGGGTTGTTGTGCAGATGAAAATGGGGAGAGGAGAATGTTGTAAGTTGCTTTGGTCCGCACTGCGGAGAAAGACTGTACTTTTCCTTCTGGGGGACTATTGTTGCTAATCTCCAGGTGAGGTCAGGAGATCACTCAGATTTACAATGTTCTTTAGGTGGCACAGATCAGTTCCCCCGGAGAAAATGGTGGACTCTGTGTCATTGTACCCTGCTGAGGTCACCACAGCAAATTGATGCTGAGTGCCCAAGGCTGGGGCACCCACTCAGAGCCTCTTTCTAGAGTTTGTTGTATTTATTTCCACAACAGGCCTTATTCCTAGTCTCTCCTTATATATAATTGAGTAGTGGTCCCACAGCATTCTATGCACTCCAAAATCAGTTGGCTCCATGATGTGTCAATCGCAAGGTGTCTCTATCCACTGGCTGTGTTGCCTGAGTTCTCTCCCACCCACTGCTGGCCCAATCTTCTCTAATTGGGACAGTGTTTCAAGGTCATTTGCATATGGAAGCTGATTGGACTTCACTCCATTCCGCACCTCAAACCCCCCCCCCCCCTGCAAGACAGTTGGAACTGTCCGTTGCATATGGGACCTGGTGTATTCTGAGGTAAAATATGTCCTCACTCACAACACATCACTTCCCCTTCAAAAGAAACAAACCCAATAACACAGTCATGCCACACCACAAAAAAGACAGATCACACCACAAGCAGAATACCACAAGGCAAAAAATGATAGGAAAAGGTGCCAGCAGTCACCTGAGAGCGCTTCAGAGGATGGTGTGCAGGTCCCAGGTTCATGTTATAAAAGCAGCCTGGGGGATTATGGACCATTCACACACTTTCAACCTTAACATACCTCATAGAGTAGTTGTGTGGATCATATGAGGGAGAGGAGAATGATGTCAGCTGCTTTGGTTCCCACTGCAGGGAAAGACTGCCCTTTCTGAGGCTGGAGGC